TCACAGCAATAAAACTGCCTCTGTAATCCAACACATCTATTAGGAGAATGAGAGGACATGAAAGGTATAAAAGCAACAACCACTTACTGTGAATAATGACATCCCTCACATCCAGTGGAGTAGGGTACGAGCAATCGCGATAGGAGCGGTCAAAAAAGTGATACATTTGAGACAGTCTGACATAATACCTAGCCCTAATGCATAGATAGTGAAACAACATGGGTCGACAGTATGGTGGTTACTAACCTCTTATAATCATCAGCATATACTTGTATGGGATCTTGACCAACCACCTCAAGCAATAAAATGTTATTCTGAAATATAAAATAAAAAAAGTTGTCTTTTTGTGTGCCTTTACTTTAAAGGCAATTTTAGTTGTTGTTTTCCATGGGCATTGCAGATCGATTGTTCTTGTTCCATCAGATTCATCGTGACAGAGTCTTAGTCCTTTGGTACTGAATCCAAGCAGAAAGGCACAATCATCACTCCAGTCTTTGGTCTATAATGCACATGCATACACATATATCAGTGATCATATATACATAGATCACATATACATAGATCACAATATACATAGATCACAATATACATACACATAGATCAGTGATCACATATACATAGATCACAATATACATAGATCACAATATACATACACATAGATCACATACACATAGATCAGTGATCACATACATGTATACATAGATCACATATACATAGATCAGTGATCACATACACATAGATCACATACACATACACATACATGTAGATCACATATACATTCACATAGATCACATACACATAGATCACATATAAATGCATTACCAATGAAACTCTGTAATATATGTAGCCATAGTCTGCCAGCTTTGCAGCCTCCTGCAAAGAGAAGAGCATACATAAGTTTATTTCTGACGTGTGTGCGTGTTTACTCTTAGATACTGGTGCTCAGCCTTTTGTCTTGTTAGACCTTTCCTTTGCTCGTGGATCGCTCGGAGAGTTTCATGAACATTTTGATTCCTCATTTCCCTCAAAACCTAACAAAAACCAAGTAAGAAGATAAGAGGATGGACGAACTCATGACTGACATTCTTAGGGAGGTAGTGGATTGGTTTGAAATAGTTCAATTGCCCTTGGTAGTCTCCAAACTGAGCTTGTAGTGCCAGGCCGGCCAGCATGATGGCTTCTTCTTTAGTTACGTGAACCAACCTGTCAAGAATGTCATAAAACGTCTGCTCGTAGTGAAGATGTCTTGATTCTCTCATTGACAACATGCTGATATTCAACGGGAAATACATCACTCTTAGGTGTACTACAAATCGTGGCATATTTCTACCAGAGCCGGGCTATACATGTACATTAGATTAGAATGAAATAATTCTCAAAGGAATTTGTAACTACCTTCCATTTCTTCCAACCGGTTGGAGCATACTTGTAAATTTTCTTATCGGGCTCAAGAAAAATGTACTCTTCGTCTACAATCCATTTAATAAAAATAAAAAATAAAAAATAGCTTTTAAAATTGTACCGATTTCAATAGCGATCCCAAGCGTTTCTGCTTGATCTGCTATGCACAGTTTCTTAGCTGCTTCAGACAGGAGCTCCAGACCAGTCGCATTTGGTTTGATCCGTAAATGAGTTGAAGTCATTCCCAGTGCTTCAATCTTGACAACATGACTCTCGAGATGGAACTTCTGCGAGTTCCTTCGTTTTAATTTAGAGCTTTGACGGAGACTCATCATCTTTTCCTAAAACTTTCTACATGTACGTAAAATAGAATTATACATAATAATTAATAGCACAAAACTAGCACT